CCCCCTTAAGAGTTCGCCAGAGGCCCGCTTTTCCAGGGTCTCTGCAATTAGTGTAACATCGAGGCTGATAAAACTCTGCGTTTGGTTTCTGAGGACTCTGCTTTTCTTGAAGTCCTCTGTTAAGGGCTGTTCCCTCATATATACTGCAGAACTTGGGGCCAACACGCAGTCCACTGTTTGCTAGACCGTTGCTCTCTCCTGGCCCTAGGATTTCCACCCTCATTCAAAATGGCTTCTCTATGAAGCTGTTCACCACCTACAATGCCACCGACTCACTTGTGCTCACTGCCTTTAGACCTCCAAGCTCTCCATCCTATTTACGCCTGACCGAGCAGCTGGCTCGGTCTTCCTCTCAACCCTGACGACTTTGAAACTGGCAACCTATGCAGTAAGAGCCTCGCCTCACGGTTCCTTAGGCTGAACTCCAGGGCTCTCTCCCCTGCCACTTCTGTCCCCTGCCGTAGTCTCTCTCTCCCAGGACGCAGGAATCACAAGCACCTCTGAACAGCTCTGTTGTTAAAACCGAAACCTGCTATTCGACTCTGACCCCACCATCTGACCCCTCTGTTCCCTGACCTGTCCTTAAAGTGCTGTGCCACCCTCCTAACTCTTTAATCCGGATCCGCTTTGGTTAGCCCCTCTTCCGTTACCGGCCACGCTAAATTAAACGTGGACTTGGCTTTGTGACTTTGAACAAATCACTTAACTTGTCTCATCACAGACAAGTTACTTGGAAGGGGGATCAGGAGACTTTACCGGGAGGGTGATTACTAATATGGTTCCGGTTCTATCCCTTGAATACCCAATCAAGCCCATCATCATGGACTGAGCCAGACCCTCACTCACAGGCCTTAATTCCTTGCTCCCTGCTTGAGTGCCCTGCTCAAGTTCTACCTTTTCCACTCAACCAATACCTGTTGTTCCAATTATCCTGGAGAAAGAGGGAGGAGGAAATGCAAACCTTACCTGAGTGGGTTGATGACGGGGTTGTTAATGACAACGGGGTTAATGACGACGGGGTGTCAACTGTCTGTCTAAACTTCTAACGAAACCATTTCCACCTCATCCTCTGCCTTCCCTGAGCTGCTAACTTCACTCTTTACCGATCTGTCTTCACCAAAATACACTCTTTCTCCCAAGTTTCATCGTTGGGCTTTCTTCTATCCCTGGGCTGTGGAGGACGGCCTTCAGGTTTGTGAAGTCCTGCAAGTGGAACATAAAATGCGGTGCATCTGTGCCTCTGGCAGAGAGAATCCATAACTCCTTTCATGCGATTCTTGTAATCTGTGAAAGAAATAAAAAGATTAAGAACCCACGATCTGATAGGCCTGAATTCACAGCCTGGCGACGTCACCAGGAGTTGTGGAACCGTAGGCAAGACACTTAACTTCGTAGATGTTTCACATCCATATGAACAGGAATCAAAATGCCTACTCTAGAGAGGCTTTGTGAGTGATACTGTTTGCAACATGCTTCGATGGGCATTTCAGGCATTCAACTAGATGGGCATTATTTTAATATAATAATGAGCCAAATCTAATAGCGGCCTATTTTTCCTAGGTAAACTCATATACTCCCGTGACCTCATTCACCATCTGAGAAAAAATCATAGCCTTCTAAGGTGAAAGACAAGTTTAAAGAACTCCCATTAGCAACGGAAGCAAGAGTTTCTTTCTTAAAGGAAAGGATTGACAGAGTAGCAAGTGGGGTAAGGTGGGGAAGACTGTAGGTTTGGCTGAAGGGAGAATTCTTTGATGAGGATGAGGAGGGGGGCCCAAAGAAGACATCCAGATGGCCAAGAGGCACATGAAAAGAGACTCAACGTTGCTCCTCATCAGGGAAATACAAGTCAAAACCACACTCAGATATCACCTCACGCCAGTCAGAGTGGCCAAAATGAACAAATCAGGAGACTATAGATGCTGGCGAGAATGTGGAGAAACGGGAACCCTCTTGCACTGTTGGTGGGAATGCAAACTGGTGCAGCTGCTCTAGAAAACGGGGTGGAGATTCCGCAAAACATTAAAAATAGATCTACCCTATGACCCAGCAATAGCACTGCTAGGAATTTATCCAAGGGACACAGAAGTGCTGACACACAGGGGCACATGTACCCCAATGTTTATAACAGCACTTTCAACAACAGTCAAATTATGGAAAGAGCCTAAATGTCCATCAATGGATGAATGGATAAAGGAATTGTGGTTTATATACCCCATGGAATACTACTTGGCAATGAGAAGGAATGAAATATAGCCTTTTGTAGCAACGTGGATGGAACTGGAGAGTTTTATGCTAAGTGAAATAAGTCCTACAGAGAAGGACAGATGCCCTATGTTTTCACTCTTATGTGAATCCTGAGAAACTTAACAGAAGACCATGGGGGAGGGGAAGGGGGAAAACAAAATAACAGAGAGGGAGGGAGCCAAACCATAAGAAACTCTTAAATATACTGAGAACTGGGGCGCCTGGGTGGCGCAGTCGGTTAAGCGTCCGACTTCAGCCAGGTCACGATCTCGCGGTCCGTGAGTTCGAGCCCCGCGTCAGGCTCTGGGCTGAGGGCTCGGAGCCTGGAGCCTGTTTCCGATTCTGTGTCTCCCTCTCTCTCTGCCCCTCCCCCATTCATGCTCTGTCTCTCTCTGTCCCAAAAATAAATAAAAAACGTTGAAAAAAAAAATTAAAAATAAATAAATAAATAAATAAATAAATAAATATACTGAGAACAATCTGAGGGTTGATGGGGGTCAGGGAGAGGGAAAAGTGGGTGATGGGCATTGAGGAGGGCACCTGTTGGGATGACCACTTGGTGTTGTATGGAAACCAATTTGCCAATAAATTTTATATATATATATATAGGCAGAGGCAGAGAGGAGGAGACAAGGCAGAGACGTGTAAAGGAGGTGGTATAAGGCAAAACAGAGGGAAGTGCAAGAAAAAGGGATTTTCAGCAAAGATCGAAATGGCTTTGACTTTTGGCACTTGCACCACACCGGCTCTAGGCCCCGACAATCTCGGGGCGCTGACAGCTACATTTGGTTAAACGGTATGTCCCTGAGAATGAAGGCCCCATGCCATTTAAGGTCCTTGACAATGTGGTACCAACTTCTGCAACCCTTCAGCCCCTCCTTTCCAGAAGCTTCACCTAGAATGGATCTCTCTTCCACATTTCTTCCCACCTATGCTTGCCCAGTTTGCTCCCTCTGCCGAGAATGACCTTACCCTGCCTTCCTGCCAACCCCCCTTCCTTGCATTGGGAGCATCTCCTGCTATTCACGGCCAGGTTACCTGCAAGGGAAGGGAAATAAAAAAGCGTTAAGAAATTGAGTGAACCGGGACACCTGGGTGGTTCAGTTGGTTAAGTGTCCGACTCTTGATTTCAGCTCAGGTCATAATCTTGTGGTTCACGAATTCGAGCCCTGAGTCGGGTTCTGCACTGACTGTGCAGAGCCTCCTTGAGATTCTCCCCACCCCCCCCCCCACCCCCCCAGTGGAAAAAAAAAAAAAAAAAAAAAAAAAAATTGAGTGAACCTCCTCCCAGAAAGTTGAAGACGGACGCCCAAGGCAAAAGGAGCTTCTTAGGGATGATTTAGGAGTTGGTTGATCTAAGGAGGGAATGGGAAGTCCATGGTGTGGTGGGGGGTTGAAACTACCCTCACTCCAATTAGTATCTGGACATTTTCTTCAACACACAAATCAGTCGCTTCCTTTGTTATCTTAAGCAACAAAAATAATTTTTAATTTTTTAGAATGATTTGTAAATTGTCAAACTTGTCCAATTTCTAGAGACAAAAAGTTTATGTTGTGCGCTGAATAATACCGAAATGCACCTGCACTGCCGGTGAAGGAAGAAGTACGTAAAAGCAAGGAAGAGATCGGACTAGCCATGGATACAAAACTTACCTCGGGATACAAACGGAAAACCGACCACACGCCATCACATTTACACAAAAGCAAGCACAAAGAGAACGTGTTTCCCAATCTATCGACTTCCCTTTGTTGACAAACCTGCAGGGCAAGAATGCAGTAGTGTTCACAGTTTACCCAGTCATCAATTGCTCCCAGGCAAAGCTTTGTGCCCAAGAATGCAACATCCTCAGCCCTCACAAGTACTCAGCTTATACAGAAGGGAAGGTAAACATAGGTGCTTCACGAGGGGGTCTGATGCCAAAAATGAATGCAAGTCAGACGGGATTGAAAGGGGTTTAGGATCACGAGGCAGAAACATGTAAAATATTTCATGCAGCCAGCCTTATTTATTGAGAAGTCCTAATTTTATTGCCCATTTAGTAACATGTTTGTTCCACAAACTAATTTCTCATAAAGCAAAGCACAACCTTTTCTTATAAATAGTATAAATTATTTTATTTACAGAAACTTGTTACAAAACAAATAGACTATATATTTCTTCTCTTTTAAATATCCAAAGTAATTTTCTATCCCTTGACATTTGTTCATGTTTCTATACAGCAGCCAACACGAAGTCCAGCTGAGATGCTCTTGATTATGTGTACAAATTATCACACTATTCACACATTTCAACACAGGAGATTGCTTTTATAACCAAGCTCAAAAAAACAGCAAAATGCTTTTCAAGGCCCTACATTCACACTGACAGTATGTAGTGCTCATTTAAATGATCTGAAAATGTAAAATGTTTTGCACAAAATGTAAAAATGATTATTTTCTGTTAAACAATGAAACTTTTCACAATCATTTCCAAAGCCCCCTAACCCTCCCACCCCCCCTTCCCCACCCCGGACATAATGAGACAGTAAGAAATTCCTTGGCAACAGAACTCTCGCAGGAAGACAGCTGCCTTTATAAGTTACAATTTTCAAATTATACATTTTGCAATGTTTTCAGAGGTACTTTGTATTATATTTTTGGAATAGAAAATATTTTAAATATCCTATTTTAAACTCTGTATTTCATGAGTGAATAACAAAACGGATATATCATCTAAGTTGCTGGCTGACAAAACAGATTTGTAACCCTTGCTGCCACCGGGCAATACGTCACCAGTTGAATTACTGTGAACCAAAAGGCCTTAATTTTAAAATACCTTATAAAATTACCAGCATCGGTGGTTTTCAACCCCTCCCCTAAAATTTTAGAGACAATATTTAGGTGGAAAAAGCAAACTCCAAAGGTTTCAACTGAACATTCAAGTCTTTTTAAAGAATCTGTCGAAGCTTAAAACTAGGTTCAGGCACTTTTTCCGTTAGTTTGAAACCACATCACAGACTAACACACATGTGCTCAGAGCGTACACATACACACACACAGGCACGCACGCACGCACACGCACACTCACACACAAAACACTAACGAAAGAAAAGCAGTGTGTCACTTAGTTACATGTAGTCTATCGGGAAATCAGGCAACCAGAGAGAAGCAATGCCCACTTCGTCTGTACGAATCCACTCCCGAGACATGAAAAGGGACAACAAGACTTTCACAGAACAGAGGCATCCCTTAAACTGTAAAGGAGGCAGGTTCTAGAACTATTGGCTTGGCAGTGAACCACTTCAAATTATAAAAAGGTATTTACTTTTATTAATTAATAAATAAATACTAGATGATCTCAATTGTACCAAAACAGGATATCAGAAAAAAAGACCTGTGCAAAAATACATATTTAAATATGTACAATTCATTTTTAACAAAATATGTCTTCTGAAATAGGGATACTTCCATATTTATAATAGAACAAGAAATTCCAAAATAAAGATACAAAAGTAGGTTTTGTAGAATTCTTTGTTCATCATTGCAGCACATTTTTTTTTTTTTGTAGGTTAAGAAAACTGCAGGAGTTGTCATGAAATTCTATTGGAAAGAATATAAAAATTATCTTGGTTTTAAATTGATACCAAAGTCTGTCTAGAAACAACCCAACCACTGCAAATTTGGTTTTTGCAAGTTAATTTAATTCAAAAAAATACTTGTACTCCCGTGTTTTAAATGGTCTTAATTGTTCATTATAATAAAAAGTAGTTGTAGGAGAAAATAAAATATTTGAACAGTCTAAAATTTAATAGCACTGTTTAGAATAGGTCTGTTTGTGGCAGGCAGAATCCAAAATGGCTAATTTCCTAATCCCGATCATCTGTGTACTACCGGGAGACATAATGAAATTCAATTAAAACCTCAGTCTAAGAAATCAAATGATCAACACTCGCTTATCTAAATATCTACATAATTCTGAATCAACTTGCTATCATGGGTCCTATTCACATCTTTCGGAACAACGTGATCTGTCTATAAATTCCATTGCTAAAAGCAACTTTATTTATATCCATCAAGTCCCCTTGGCTCTGAAAATAAATTCTACCCATACCCCATTGCACTTGTCACCCAGGAATCAACTAAAGACGTTCTGATTCCCCCTTACCTCCGTTCTCTCCCTCCACTGGGACGGAACAACCAGACTGATTTCTCCTAACTGCACCAAACTGGCCCATCCACGCGCTCTCCTTAATAAGCTCTCCTATAGTATCATTTTTTAAAAATATTTACTGATTGCATAATAAGTGAACAAGATACTCCTCTCCCCTTCCTTAAAAAAAAAAAAATCAATAGTTTACATCAATTTATAGCTAAAGTATCTGCATAAAGTTTTCGTTGTCTTACATAATAAGAGTAATTCTGTAGCAATTCACATTATTAGGCTGGTAACCAAGTATTTATTCATTCTACGTGTTGTTGACTTGAAATTCCCTGAAACTGAAGTTTGTAACTCAAAAACTGTAGGGAAAAAAAGGATGCACTGATTTGCTCTGTCCAGGCTCTGCCCAGAACAATGATCAGAGCCTTGGGAAATTTACCCTGTGGTGTTCGGCAACTTTGTGTGTTCTTCTAAGTACAAGTGCCTGGGTTATTTATTGTTTCAGGAGCTGTGAGAGTGGAATCACCAGTTAAAATGCCCCAGCTCATCCCCCAAATTCAATGATACCTTCTTAAGCAATGACGTTTTAACATATTAAGCTCTGTCTTTTGGGATGGGGTATTCAAAAAAAATAAACGAATAACCACGAAGGTCTCCAAATCTCTCTCAGGAAGATGGCTGGCATTAATCCCCAGAAAGGAGGGTCTGTCGGGGAGACACTATATATGCGTCACAGCATCTGTGCATGGGCACACGTACACATCTGCCTACTCCCCTCCCTGGGTGCCTGCTCCCCACCCACTGGCATCCAAATGAACACGTGGACAGGAAGGGGAGTGCAGATACACACACGATATGGGGAGCACTCGACACAGAAATTTACAGAGTCCCAGGACAGTATCCACAGAGACTGAGGGTAATGCACAGAGTGCCCTGGAAACATTAAGTATATTAATGACTTAGTGAATGACAGTTTCTGCTGCATCCTAATAATTTCACTTTACAAAGGCAATTTTTTAAAAATGGGAGACTGAGCAGGACAGCCAGCCCAATCTACCATACTGTTTAACATGAAAACTTGAAGGATAAAAAATTCCATCTCTTTGGAAATCTTGGAAAAACATTCCCCCATAGTGATTTCATCCACCCCACCCCCCCGCCTTTCCCCAACCAAAATTTGGCTTTCCATTATCAAAACTAGTTTGCATTTGCATTTTCTTTAAAAAAAATCACATAGAATTGCTTTTGTACCATGAAAAGTAAGCCTCTAAAATGTCATATACTCGCTTTCTGGGCATCAATGGCTTTAAACCAGTTTGTAAGTTAGAAACTCTTGACAGCTTCTATCCCAAATCACCCGCAAAAGGCTGGGGGAAAACACAGGCTATTTTGTCCTGGTGCCTCGCGCTAACGTCCGTATTCCAATCCTGGAGCGTTGCTGTAAGAACCTAACGACCGAGCCCTTCTGCGAAGGGCTGTGCAGGGGGCAGCTCTGCCCTCCTCCGGAAGGCGTCTCCAGCTGGGGTACCTAACTGCTGGAGAGGGACCCACAGAAGACAGTGTACGAAAAACACCTGGGACGGGGAGAGGAGGAAGGGAGAAAGTCTACAGTAATGCTTTTGCCAAGACATACTCTCCCCCAGCCAATCTACTCAAAGAGCGGCTCCATGATGTGCTGCAAGTTAAAAAAACAAAGCAAAAACTTCTCACAGATTGGTAGCAAGCAGTCCAGACCACTTTAACACTGATAAAAGCAATTTCGGTGGCTGAACTTGATCCAGTGTCCTTTACGAGTACTCACTGCTACTGACATAGCTTCAGGGAAATCCTCGTTACAACAACAGCCCGGCAGATTCCTACCCTCGAGGCCCACAGGAGGTTGGGAAAACAGACTCAAAGGCATCGTGGAGTCCATAGTGCTGAGTGGAGGTGTAACTTGTCGTCAAAAGGGTCCAGATTATTCCTCCCCGTGCCATGTTCAGCTGTCAGGGACGTGCCTTTGGCTTTCAAAGAAGAGGGGGTGGGGAAACAATGAAAAGGTAAGTAAGCAGCTGTACGCGGCACCGCCCCGATGCTCAACACGAATATTCCAAAGGCCACGCGCCACTAAAATCTCCAGATGTCAGGGGCAGTCAGCTACAGAACTGGGCCTGAGCTTTCAAAAGCCTTCATCACCCTTGGGCACAATCACTGTAGAAGACTAAGTTTTAGAAAATCGTCTAGAAGAGATGCAGGCCAGGTTTCCAGCCGAGAGAAAAGGCTCTCATGTTTGCCTTCTGGTTTTATCTACTGATTTCATTTCCTTGAAGGTATTCCAGGTTGTCAGCTGAGAAGTGAACAAGGTCCCGTGGGCTAGCACACACAGGTGTGCAAACTCATACCCAACGCAGTGCCCTTGCCCGGGGAGCAGGAACTCAGACCCCCCACTCTCCCACCATAAGCCCTTGGCTGCAGAAGCCGTGAGCACACTAAGGGCTCAGGGGAAGCTGCCAGGCCCCACCTGCCAGGCTTCCCAGTATGTCCCCCAGCATTCCCTGGCATAGAGGGCTTCAACCAGCTCAGTTACCCATTTTAAAATCAGCTCCACAAGAAACAGAACTGAGGTTCCTACTTTTCTGAGAGGAGTATTCTTTAAATCATTTTGGAGTCATGGGTACCTTTAAGATTCTGATGGAAGCTATAAGGATCCCTTCTGCAGATAAACGAGCACAGACATAAAAATCATGCAACACGTTTCTGGGGTTTTACCGATCCTCCGATCTGTAGTCACGGGCCACCCTAAGCTTTGTGCAGCGTAATAAAAAAGTTTTCCACTACACAGAGGAAATCTTTCTCAAATACAAACTGAAGTTGAAACAAATTTTGATACCCCAAACTCAGCCTGTCCTAGTGGGACAGAGCCCTCACAGATGGTGGACATCAGAGGTGGCAAACCGCTAAGAGCCGTACTTGGGCAGATGTGTGGGCTATACCAGGTTAAAAAACAAAAGAAGTTCGAGCCCCGCGTCAGGCTCTGGGCTGATGGCTCGGAGCCTGGAGCCTGTTTCCGATTCTGTGTCTCCCTCTCTCTCTGCCCCTCCCCCATTCATGCTCTGTCTCTCTCTGTCCCAAAAATAAATAAAAAACGTTGAAAAAAAAATTTTTTTTAATGAAAAATAAAAAAAAACAAAAAACCAAAAGAAAAGTATTGCATAACTTGTAAAAGTGATCAAACTTCTCATGCAAGTCCAAATCTGCAGTTTCTTTGAAATCAGTAACCAGTTTCTGGGAGCTTCTGCTCTGTGTGGATGGGGCTCCTATTTCCTCATTTTCCACAGGCACTGCTGTGCCCACCAGTCTCTTCCCCTCCTGTCACCTGTGGGGTACTGAGGCCACAGCGATGTCTATATGAAGACAGACACACTCAGTAACGTAATGTACTGGGCATCCCAGCAAAACGGAACATCCCTCCTCCAGGTTCACACAGAATCAGGAAACTACACTCAGAAGGGAGTTTTTAAAGGATGGCTATACTACTTCCTGCAGTGTTTGCACTGAATTTTTATGCTCATAAACTATGATGAGTAACTACAAACCAAGAAGTAAAAGCCCATTTTCCCATGTCCAGGGACCCCTTGCTCAAAGAGCCAAGCAACATACCAACAACCCCTATAGACTTGAAGCTCATAGAGAAAAATTTAAGCAGTTGCTATTTAAATTCACCGATCATTATGTTCCCTGTACCTTTGGCGCTGGGTATTAATTCACGCAGATATTGGAGGGAAATCTATCACAGAAAGAAGCTTCCCAGTATATTCTGGAGAAGTCCTAACCTGCCATTTGAGTTAAGTCCTGAAGATGAAAAACAAAACAAATCAAAGCAGCCCCCACACTGCAAATCAGGGCTCTGGGGTGATGTTGCTGAAATTCCTGTTCGACAGCAAGGAAAGGAGATCTGCTGATGAGTGAAGAAACGAGAGGAGAGACTGGGACTCAGAGCCAAGGATGCTGGAGGAAGGGGCTCCAGGGGGAAGAGGGTCAGGGGAAACCAGCAACAGGTAGGAGAGTGGGAACAAAGAACGCACGAGAGAAAGTCACAGTTCCGTATGAACCTGACACCCAGGGAGCCACTGCTGTACAAATGGGCCACGTTCGTGTCTCTTTTTAAGCTCTGAAATTTGAGATTTTAGTCTTCGTCTCTACCCACACTTACTGTTTTCCTGCCTCCCTGGAAAACTGTGAGGGAACATAAGGACAGAGTCAACCAGAGAATCAAATTCTTTGATGGGAAAATTATTAAAAGGTCTTTAAAATTTAAACCATCCCTTTCTAGACCAGTGTGACTGCAGACCAGCTTTCTCCAGAGGAACAAACTAGAGACGCACTCTCCAGGAAGACATGGCCCGCCTTTCTCCCCAGGCAGTGGCACGGGACTTGCCCCCCAGGGCTGCGCTCACCGGGCCGCGGAGGGGACGCTGCCGTCCCGCAGGTTGGGCAGCTTCTGCAGCCCTATCTGCTAAAACACACTGCGTGGTTTCCTTACCCAGGAGCATCTTCCAAGTCATGAGAAATTCTGGCAGATACACTGTTTTACCTTCACATGGCCGCGAACGCTTCCTTTTTGAAAGGAGACCACAAAGCTGGACACGTGTTTACAGGCAAACTAACCAACCCTGCCACACACGTCCGAGCTGGTGCAAGAGTTCAAGGGAGAGGAAACGGGGGCATCCCCGCGGGGCTCACAGTCCATGTCCTACCTGATGAAGGAGGGAACTGTTCGTCAGTCCTTGTGCCCCTGGGCTGGCGCCCGCGTGTTTCATGTGCACGTTGTTCATGGCTGGCAATTTGGCCACCTTTGTGGGTTTGCTGCTGCCGTTGTTGACGCTGCTTGAGCCGGGCGAGCACTTTCTTTTCTTTCCTAGGAGTCTGTCTAGAGGAGTGTGAGAGTGTGAGTAACTGCCGTGGGAGTTGACGGGCAACTCGCTGGACTGGTGAATGAACGGGCCAAGAGAAAGCGTGGAGTCACTGCTGTTCACCATCACACTCATCCTCTTGATGGACTCAGCGGGGCTCCCACCGGGGGGGCCCCTCCCTGACTGGTCGTGCCGGACACTCACCGAGTTCGCTTTAGTAACCACACAGTTGAGGCCGATGCCGTGGGAAGATGTTACCGTTGAGGGGTAGGGAGGCCCAGAGTGTGCCATACAGTTTTTCCTAAAAGACTCCATGGAATGAGAAGAAGAGGAGGAGGAGGAAGAGGAAGAGGAAGAGGAGGAGGAGGAGGAGGAGGAGGAGTGGACTGACAGTGGGGAGCTATTTTTGCGTTTCTTTCCTGAGCCGCCGCTGGTACTGCTACTGGCATTGTGACAGTTAGTGCTGTTACCAGAAGGCTCCTTGGGCCTCAAAGACTTGCTGGATTTCAACTTCTGAGGTTTTCTGGACATAGGGGAGGAGGGGACTGAGGAAAGGCCGGAGGGTGTGGAGGGGGAGGAGGACGAAGAGGACACTTGTCTGGATTGCATACTGCACACAGGATCCATTGCCCCGGAGGCGGCGGGCTGTGCGTTCAGTGTGGTTCCATGAGCTGGTGCCGCTCTGCTGTTTGGGGAGATGCAGGTGGACGAGAGCAGGACTGGGGACGTAGACACAGTGGCCGCTGCCAGATAGCTGACCCCACACTGCGATGTGGGCACAGAGTTTGTCCGGTGAGGAACACGTGTGGAGACGGGTGTTGTGGTGCTGGGCACTGGTGGGATTTTCCTGCAAAAAGAGGGGCCAGTGAGTAATCATCAGCAGAGCCCTTCACGGAAACGCACGGAGGGGTGACCCTTCATCTCTGGCACTGAGCAGCACACACCCGTCAGAGGATCAACCTGAAACGCACAGCCGATCCTGCCGCTTCTCTGCTTCAAATTTTGCAAGGCCTTGCCGGGGCTCTCAGAACAATGGTGTGGAAAGCCCTGTGTGCCTCACCAACCACCGGTCCCCAGCCTCACACTGCCTCCTAGATTCCACCCAGCAACCCTTCTTACATCGCAACAATAGGCCTGGACGTGAGGCCCTGTCCATCTTCTGCCTACAATACTATGACCCCAACTTCTGCTCAGCTCGTACCTTCGGCCCACCATCACTTTCTTAGGAAATCTGTCCTGACCACCCAGACTCGCTTGGTTTTCCACAGACTCACTCTGCCAGTTCCCAGACTTGGGGGAACTCAAGGCAGCTTCCACATGTAACTGTGGATCACTAACTTCTCTAGAGAGCAGGGCACACCTTATTTAAAACTGTGCCCACAGCGCCTGCAGTACAGAAGGTGCACTAATGTTGAGAGAATTCACGAACAAAGAGGAGAAAGGAAGGGCAGAACAATTTCATAGCAACTGCTAGGTCCTAACTTCAGGCCTGAAGCACATCTCAGGGTTTCCAGCCACAATGATGGCACAGTGTATTTTGTTACTAACGTCCGGGCAAGGGACCAACCTGGGGATTAGAGAGTCATTCAGATGGCAGACCAGGGAGGCCTCTTTCCATTTTTGCTACGATTTTAACATGTGACAGCACCAAAATTTCAAAAACCCCTATGGCAGAACCAACAGCGAGGTAGCAACACAGACAATGGCCTGAATGGAAGGCAAGCGCCAAGACCGGCCCGGTCCTGACTTCACAGGGCAGCAACGGCTGATCCAGTCGCTGCACCAGCTAGGGTTCCGGCTTCTCATCTTCCAAGTGAGACTTGCCCTAAACTGTTGCCAAAGTGCTTTCCAGATGCTTTTTAAGGCCTGTAACTATTAATAAAAAGAACTATTTACTGTATTTGTCCCAGCTAGAACCCCCCCCCCCCCATTCAGGAGTGTAGCTCTGGCCCTAGAGATCCATGCATCCAGACCGACCACACCCAAGTCCCTATGGGGTGGGGTCCAGACGAGAGAAGTTTCTCAGTCTCTCTGGGAGATTCCAACAAGAAGCAAAGACCGAGAAGCTGGGCTCTATCCCCATACTACTCACAGAGGACAACCACGGACAGTACCTGAAAGGCTTATGAGAAACGATGAGTCCCTGCACCCCACCCAGACCTACTTCATCAGAATCTGGATCTCAACAAGATCCCCAGGCAATCCGTGGGCACTGGCACCTCTGAGAAGCCCTGCTCTAAATGGAGGCGTGTAGCACTGCTCGGGCTCACTGGGCGCACTGGCTTCGCGCGGCCACCAGGTGGCTTAGGGAAACGAAGCCTAAATTATCAGGCAGCTGGAACCAAATCCTGGGAAAAGGAAAAGCTTCCATACAGGGAGACATGTGGATCTCTCTGCACAACATATTGGTCCCTGGTAAAAAAAAAAAAGCTCTTTTAAGCCATTCGTTACCTTTTGCATAAGGATGAGACAAATAAAGAATATGTAGTTGTACTGATCTACGTCCATACAAATCAACTCTGCAAAGATATACAAGCAATTAATAAAAATGCTTCTGTCTGGGGGTAGTGGTGGCGGGGAGGGTGGGCAAAACGAATGTGGGGACCAGGGGGACTAAAACCTTGAACTGTATACCTCTTCATATTCATTTTTTTTTTTTACCCAAGTGAATTTATTACCAATCTGACAAATTCTGTAACCTCGACACTGCCCCCTATTCCACGCCCCACCAAAGAAAAACCTTTTGCTGATGATCCCATCCCTTCCTTAAGGAATGTGGAATCATGGTCCCCAGTCAAAAGTGGACAAGCACTTGACAGAAATCACAGAGTTTGGAACTGGCCTTTGCGGTCCTGGGCATGCTCCAGAGGAAGTGCTAGTCCAATTTGACCAGTGTCCAGATTCCTATATTGAAGATGACTTATTTCGCTGTCGTACTCAAATCCCACTTCCACATATCCTTAGCTGCAATAGGTAACTGAGGAGTAAGGAACTAAGGAGGGTGGCACCCAAACCGGGGGTCCTCCTGGAAGAGAGGACTTTTGGCTGAGCCAGCAGGATGGAACTTGGACCACTTTGGGAGTTCTGTTGAGTGCATCAAAGATGCCACCTGAGGACTGTTCTCCTGCAGTTGAGAAGTGCTCAGCTCCTCCCACCAAATCTCAGGGGCTGCCCGAGAAGCTTGCCTGCAGTGGCCAGCCTCACTCGCAGCACCTCACTCCAAGCTACCGTCTGCCCCAGGCCTGTGCGCCAGCTCATCACTGAGCAAAACATCTGTCTCTGCTGTACTGGCCTTTTTTTAAAACCCAAGTTCATGTTAGCGGAAAGGCACGATTTCCTCTTTGCTAGGAACAAGTGATTGATAAGGTCGTCGGCCTCTGACAGAACAAAGAGAGAGACGGTAGAGCACCTCATGATCTTGTGTCTTCCCAGGTTCACCACAGAAAGAGGACAACACCCACCCCCCCCACAAGCCACTAGGAACTGACACCATATGCACCCCAACTACTGGCCACGAACCACTTCTCAGGATAATGGGAAAAAGTCATTCTGAGGACACTTCTCAACTCTTAGGAATTCACTAAATCCACATTTCAGGGTGCTCAATGAGCTCCCCAAGTCCTGGTGGGCAGTCTCAAGAAATATGAAGCTGAGATTTCACGTATTTGGGGGTTTTCTGATGCTGACAGACCCCTAGAATCCCAACAAACCAGTGCCCCGTTTTTCCTGAGCAAGGGCAATGTTCCTTCATAAAGAAGAAAGAGGAGCCTCTTATCTAGTAAAACCCAGGAAGAAATGTGAAATTGAAAAGTAGAGCACCACTGCTCTGGGTCTGATTTTCTAAGTGAATAAACTCGAGTCCTGTTCATGATCACGGAGGCGGTTCTTCAGATTGCAGACTATCCGAGGCCTCTGACCAGCTTCCTTTGACTTTATCAGGAAACCAAGGCAGCAAGGCAAGTGGATGTACTGGCAGAGTCTGTTCAGGGAGGCTCTAGTAAATGATGCCCAAATGGAGAATATGGAATGACATGTGAATTAGTGGACAGCCCCCTTGGTTTAACAAAACTCAGTATTTCCAAAAATAGGTTCCACCAAACGTTAAGTTCCCAAAGATACTCCCCTAAAAGACGTTCCCAGGTCAAAAGAGCTTGTGAGATGTTCCACATTATAAATAATATCTCCTGCTTTGAGAGGTATAATGAACAGTGTGCCCCTTAAAGACTCTGAGAAGTCCTGCGGTAATGAAAACTATGTCACTTGAGAAAAAGCTGAGCCTTCTGGCCATGGAACTCTTCTTCCACTTAAAATCCCATGTAGGAAATACCAGCCCACATACGGACACACAAGATGACCATCTTACACTGTAAATCAGAGCACATGGCTCCACTTCCTGAGGCCCTCAGCAGCTCCCCACTGTACTCAGAATCAATTTCAGAGTCATCTGGCCCCTGCCAGCTTCTTAGGTCTCATCTTGCACCATGATCGCTTTCTCGCTTTTTTCAGACAAGTGTGATCTTTTCTGACTCAAGACCTTTGCACACATGGTTCTTTCTGCCTGCCCCACCATCCCCTGGCTGCCTTTTCTTTTTTTTTTTTAATTTTTTTTTTTCCCCAACGTTTATTTATTTTTGGGACAGAGAGAGACAGAGCGTGAACGGGGGAGGGGCAGAGAGAGAGGGAGACACAGAATCGGAAACAGGCTCCAGGCTCTGAGCCATCAGCCCAGAGCCCGACGCGGGGCTCGAACTCACGGACCATGAGATCGTGACCTGGCTGAAGTCGGACGCTTAACCAACTGCACCACCCAGGTGCCCCGCCTGGCTGCCTTTTCTATCCTTCTCTCCATCTGTGCTCTAGGATCACCTCTTCAGCGAGGTTTGCCCTGAATCTCTCCAGCTTGTTGTTTTTCCATCTTAGCTCTTTGTTTGCAACCAAACTGCCTGTGGGTCTAAACCCTGGCCCTACCACCAACTTGCTGTGTGACTTCTCAGTTTCAGTATCTGTAAAGTAGGGATAATTGAGGTCACCAGAGGCAGCGCCTTGTGAAAATTAAATGCAAGTTGCCTGGCACACAGTAAGGTCTCAGTAAGTCTCAGTGATTGTTAGAGCTTCCATGATCTCCCTTATGACGAGCTATAACCCCTACTGATGCGCTGTTTGGTGGTTTTTGTGCCCCCCTCCCCCGAATGCAAACCCCACACAGGTGGAAACTCCCTCACTGCCTGGAACCCCAGCATCCAGAGCAATACATATTTGCTGAAAAGACTGAATGAATAAATGATGAGGGGCCTTCTCAGGGATAGTCAAAGGCCACGTTTTCATTTTAGATAAGCTTATCTTCATTAGACCAGTCCCTTAAGACATAAAGAGGATGCGGCCCCAGGTGAGGTCAGCCCCCTTTCCCCGCCCCAGAGGCGCTGGGACAGGCACTCACTTCCACAGCTGCGCGTTCAGATGCTTCTCCACCATGAGGTTGAGGGCGCAGCGAAGCCGGTTCCACCTGGAGTCAAACACGTAATAGCCTCTTCCAATCTGCCGGCTCCCGAATGTGCAAAACTGCAAGAGAGGACATACCATGCGTGCTGGCTAATCCCGGCAGCAGCACGGCCTGTCTGTGATCTCTCTCCTTCAGGAGAGAAGCCATCCACAGAAGAACTCGCACGCTGTGTATCACAGGCTGTGAAGCACGAGAGTGACGATGCCCAGCTCTGAGTTCCACAGAAGAGAAAGGCAAAAGCCGGAGGTGTCCCAGGACTGAGTGCGTGCCGCCTCTGGGGCACCCTGTTCTGAGCTGCTCTCGCACCCTGACCACGTCTCACACACACACACACGCACGCATGCCAAGATCCCTGGCAACCACCCCACCCCCCGCCCTCAGTGCCCTGTCTCCGCTGTGTGGGGAGGGTCACCTCGGGGGGGCATGTGGAACTTACAGATGCTGGCTGAGGATGATGACCTGAATAATGACAGTCCAGTTTTTCAACAGACTCTTCTTTGTCATCGCCTTCTCCCTCCTCACTGGATAACCGAGAAGCTGGCTCAGTGGCAGACAGGGGAGGGTGTGGAGATTCATGGACTGGAGGAGGGTCAATGGGGGCACTCCCACCTTGCTGTGCAGGGCAGCCTGGAGGCCTTGGTGAGTAGAAAGTGCAGCACCGATCAGATCACACGTCCGGCAACCAGCCGCCTCAACCCAGATATAACAACGTGCCCAAGACCGCCCAGGGAGGCCTGGGGTCCCCCACTAGCACTGGGGCAACAGATGTTGATCAGGTGGCGTGGGAGTGAAGAATCCACTCTCCCGAACCGCATGGTGGCACATGAAGTTGTATGCCAGATCTACCCAAAGGAACTTATAAAGGGTTCTCCCTTCTACAGCCACCTGGGTGGCTCAGGGCCTCTTGTATTCTCCCCAAAGAAGGGGAAATAGAAGTAGAATTTAAGAGAATTCTTTCTTTGATTCCTCCTCAAATTTCACCTGGATGAGGGTTACGGAGGCAATAAACTCGATAGCTGGCAATGTGCTCCGCACCCGAGAGGGACAGGAGGCGCTCAGAGGAGGACGCAGCATCACTGCTTTACGTGGACCATCTACGGCCTACCGCCAAGAGCGGCACGGAGTGCTTCCTACATGGATACATGCCTGCTGATTCTAGAATTAGGCTGACTTTTGCATCGACGGAACAATTTCAACGAGAAGATGGCCGAAGGAAGGCTGTGCCAAGGAACTGACATCCCGGGCTCGGCCACATTCTCGGGAGCCACCTCCGAGGGTGCCCCCCCGGGCTGCTCACACCCGGGGCTCACATCGGGGCAGGCCCGCGAGCGGGGAGGTTAGGCACAGCAACCAAGAGTTGGCACGTTCCTAGGCCGAAGTTCTTGCTGCCAGTGGCCGACAGTGAAGGCCCTCATTCTTGACACCTTTCTCTTCCCTTTCTCTCTGGAAATTTGGTACAGGGTCCGTGACTTTAACTTCGTTAAATACACACGCGCAAATGCACATGTACCACCTTCACTGTCCCTGAGGTATGTAGGGAAGTTCTCATAAGACATTCTGGTCCACTACTTACTAAACAGCTAAAATGCCTAATACGTGCTTAGGCCAAGGTCCCAAATGAATAAATGAAAACATAGGTTGATAAAGGGATGCTATAAAAACTCAGGCTGAATGCCTATCCCCAGCAAGGCCTCCCACTGCCGTATTTTTGCAACAAGTGAGACAAATGAATGGGAAACTGCTGCCAAAGCCATGTGAAATATTCCAGTCACTAACCTGCGGTCAGCACCCGCTTTTGGGCCCTGCTCAGGGGGGTTAAGAATAGACACCTGACACTGATCACTCTTGCTTCGTGCTGCTTGCATTTGGCCCAGAAGAGCCCTGGTTGGAAGTTACTGATGAACTCGACAATTTTTTTTCCCTCAAAACCCAATTAGAAAAATCTCTCATCTTCTTAGAGTGAGCCTGATGTACAGTCCTCGATCTCATAACTGCACTGGGGGTTCACAGTGTCTGCCAGTCTGTTCTTTAAAGGAAGGATAGAGCTGGAGGGTTTGACTTACCTTGGAAGACTGGGGGTGTGAGGTTTAGGTTTACTAGCTACGAAAGGCTTTGATTCAGAAGGAATCACTCCGTGAGAGTTTTGGTGTGGCTCCTGTGGAGGTCTAGGAGGGGCGGGATGCGGGTCCCTGAGAGGCTGCGTTGGTTGCTGACAGTCCGGATGGCGAATCGATTCCTTTTCCCTGGTTTTGTTTTTGTGCTCGGCTAATAACACATCAAATCGTTTTCTTCTACCCTGGACAGCCCTCCGCTGAGTTAAGGAATGTGTCTACAGACCAAAAAAATAGAAAAACTGAGGAATCTCAGTAATAATTTTTTCTCTATCATATATCCAAAAACACCATTCCCAATTAAAAACAACAACAACAACAACAACAAAACAACAAAACAAGAAATCTGGACCAACAGCATAAATGCTGTTCACCATCTGGTAAGCTAAAAATCATAGGACGGTGACCTTTTTTCTTTAGCTAGAGTAGAAGCACATATTTGGTGAGGCTATTTCCACAGAAGAAAAAAGGAATGTTAGTTGTGCCACCGGGTATATAAGTGAATGGCAAACAGTAGAAACGAACAGGTGACATTGCCATTGTAACAGTTTACTTATTGGGGCTCTTACCAGCTCAAATAGAAAAATCCTTTTCTGGGCCATTTACATTTTAAATATTAAAAGGGAAGAAATGCTTATGCCCTAAAAAAATGTACTGGCTCAGTCAGTAGAGCATGTGACTCTTGATTGTGGAGTTGTGAGTTCAAGCCCCATGTTGCCCATAGAGCTTACTTTAAAAAAAAAAAAAAAAAAAAAAGTGTCCTTTTCCAGTAACAACTAGAAAGTAAAAATTAGACAAGTGTTTCTCTCTATTCCAGGGAAAATGCCATGTCAAGAGAAAATGGCTCAAAGCATCTTGCAAGCAGGGAAGCATCCTGCTTTGGTTGAGGAAGCCTGGGGAGACATAGAGACTACAAAGCCACGAGGAGAAAGGCTGTGAACACGAAGGGGCAATGAAGCAGAGTGAATCCCTATAAACAGACACTCACTATGGAAATCAAGAAGATGGACAGGCAGCACTTCTACAGCTAAGACATCCATTTCAGAACTGGGAGATGGGCACATCAAGGAAAAGAAAAGTCATGCCAACAGGGTAACTAACATAACCCCCTGCTTGAGGCTCATAAACCAAATGCATTTGATAATTCCTGTTTTTGTTCGTTTGCCTTTTCAGGCTCCCTTGGGACTACCACTATTCCTAGAAGAAGATAAAATCAAGTTAACCTGACTATTCCTTACTGCTGGGGTCTTACGTCTGTCAAAAATGTAAGTAGACAGTGACCCCAAATCACATACCGTAAATACAAGTTAATTCATCTATAGATTTCCTTCACTCTTTTATGTTACAAAAGTAACACAAATTGTACTCTGTGTGTGTTTATGGTCCTACACATTATACAAATGTATTGCTGCTCTATAAGCTTTTATGTTTGATATAATTTAGGGGTTGGAGGGGAATTAGGCTTTAACTGTCCTTCTGCAATTCAGTAACAACCTACCTCCTGACTGGACACAGTGAACAGGAGGTCTGCTCAAAATTTAACCTGGCAGACATAGTTACATCAGTGACTTTAGTTTCTTTTTAAACTTTCACTTTACTTCCTTTAATATGTAATATATCCATAAGAAAGTAACCTAAATGAAGATAAGGAACTTTGTTTTGTTCAGTGCTGTACTAGCTACCTACTAGTGCTCTGGGCACTCAGTAAATGCTTCAGACAAGAAGTATATAAAAATAATGGCCCTCTAATATGTGTTGAATGAATGAATGAACATATAACATCACTGGTCCACCTGCCTATCTCTCTGGACAGATGTCGAAGCATCTGTCTCTGAACGTCCCTTAGCACTTAACATAGCAAAGTCAAGCCAAGAAAGGAGGCAGAGGTGACCAATATTTTCCCAGCTTGGTTTGAAGACTAAATCGGAAGGATTTCCACTGAGCCCCTCACTCCTATCAGAACTCTTCAGGGCTACCCAAGTACCACACAGCCACGACTGGGTACGTAACGGGGTCCTCTATTCCTCGTGGCTCACTGCCACCCACTCCTTTCATACAAAGTGCCTCTTCCTCTTGCTCTTCAACCTCCTGGCTGGCCTTTCAGGTCCTAACGTGTCTGTTCTGCCCCATCACAGAATATTTACACATGCTGCTTAATGGGCTTCTAACAACCCTCTTCACCCAGATAAATCATGTTCGTTTCAGCCCAGCTCTGCTACGGCAAAGGACACTTCCCTGGCTCAGTCCCCCTACTGATGGCTGTCATAACACAGGCCTCCTTCCTTTTTATTACTCAGCAGTGGTCACTTCACACATACATGAGTGATCACGAAGTGAACCTCCATCTCGTTCACTAGACTGTAAGCCCCTCAAGGCTAGGGACGGTGTCTGGATTCTGTTAAAGCCTGTGTCCACTGAGACCCAGAATGAGGCCTGTGCTCAAGATATATGCAATAGAACTTTCTACAATGACTGAATGGGCAAGAATACCAGAGCTAGAATCTATTTGTATGGAAGACAGAGAGGACAGGACACAGGACATCAGACAGACAAGGAAGCGAGATGACAGGGAGCGTGGCAGGCAGACAGGAGGGAACGAGTGACAGGGGCAGGCAGCACCAAGTCCCCTGACACTGAAGAGGAAGGACTACATTGTCGGTCTGAGGCAGGAGAGACCTGGGCAGCATGGTGGGAGACACTCAGCAGAGGCACTCAGGCATGGGCAGCCCTCCACAGCTTAACAGGTTCAGGCCAAAACAGAGGCAGGGAAAGGAAGAATCAGGGACAAACAGAACACAGGAGGAAAGGAAGGGCAACCTGCACAAGGCCAGGCCTGCCAGTTCTATGCCAAACTCACGACACACCAGGGCTGCAGATACATGCTCACACAGAGACGACACCCGAAACAGAACACAGGGAGAGCACACACGACTTGAAAAGGAAGATAGGAGAACACCGCAGGATCCACATGAAGCCTGTTTACCCGTCAATAAAGGTTCGGGAGGAAGGCTGGTCAGTCTTGCACATTATGTATTGATAAAGCTTTTGGCTCACCAGCATGCCCCACCAGAGCTGACTGAAGGAAGGCATCGTGGATAAACTAAGCATCCTTCATTGGCCTCAGGCACCCTAATATCGGGAAACCCATGTACTGAGAGCCAGGCAGGCGGGAAGACGGCCGAGAGCAGTTGGCAAGCTGTGATCGTAGCGTGGCACGGGGCTGAGGCCCGCCCTCACAAACTCCCTCAGGGGCAGCTACACTGGGGCATCTAGTTCCACAGAGCTCGAGCGGTTACCTTCAAACAAGAGACCACTACAGGTGCTCAATAAATATAAAAGCAATCTGTCCTGAGATAGGCGTTTTTAGCCTAGAGATTCAAGGGTGGGAGGTTTGGGGTAAGATATCTGTGAACCCTGAGACGGAATGCCAATTTCAGAACATATATGTGTGTGTATTTTCTCCTTGGGGAACGTGCTCTGTAATTTTTTTTAATTAGATATTTAAAGGAGCTCTTAGCCAGCGCCTTTCTTCTAAAGATTCAGAACCACTGTTGTAAGATAAAATCTACACGCTAAAATTAAATTTGACATTTAAACTAAAATAAGAACCACTTAGGGGCACCTGGATGGCTCGGTTGGTTGGGCCTCTGACTTTTGCTCAGGTCATGATCTCGCGGTCCATGAGTTCAAGCCCCGAATCGGGCTCTGAGCTGACAGCTCAGAGCCTGGAGCCTGTTTCGGATTCTGTGTCTCCCTCCCTCTTTCTCTCTGCCCCTCCCCTGCTCATGCGCACTCGCCCGCTCTCTCTCAAAAATAAATATTTAAAAAAAAATTTTTTTTAAATAAGAACTACCTGGAAACAACATTTCTGGGGCACTCAGTCTGTTCAGTGTCTGACTTTGGCTCAGGTCACCATCTCTCAGGTCGTGAGTTCAAGCCCCACATCAGACTGTCTGCTATCCGCACAGAGCCCACTTTGGATCCTCTGTCCCCCTCCCACTCTGCCTCTGCCGTGTCTCGCTCTCTCTAAACAAACATTAAACAAAAACAAGGAACAACACTTCCACTTTCTGAAGATTTTAACATTCCTCCGTTAGGGGGTGGAATGGGGCCTGAAGTCCTTCGTCCAAACATAATCTTCGGTAAGATTTAAAATAATACACCAAAAATTTTATTAATTTTTAGAAAACACAATTTTTTACAGTTTTCACCCCCTCCATCAAACAAGGGTTTTCAAGTTACTTTAAAGCACTGATTCTCAATAGTTTTTGGACTCTTCTGAAGGATAGCTGGGGATACTCTCCAGAGAAACATATGTAAGCATATGTGCTCATTCATGCAGGGGTTCCACTGAAGCCACCCCATTTCAACTCTTATTTTGCAGCAAATATACCACCTTATTAGCATACTGGCATTTTAAAGGAAAACTCAGGACAGAAAGGAGGATGGTAACATTTTCGTAGCTTATACGTAAGTTAGATTGTATGTTACACAGTACTTTTTTGGAACTGGAAAAATAAGTATCTCAAAATCAGATTATTTTAAAGTGGCTCTTTAAAATTTAAGAGCCACCGATTACACAAGCATTTTTATTTAATGTTTGTTTTTGAGAGAGAGAGACAGAGCGTGAGCAAGCGAGATACAGAGAGAGGGAAACAGAATCCGAAGCAGATTCCAGGCCCCAAGCCGTCAGCGCAAAGCTCGACGCTGGGCTCGAACTCAAGAACGATTGAGATCATGACCTGAGCTGAAGTCGGACACTTAACTGACTGAGCCACCCAGGCGCCCCTGCACGAGCATTTTAAGAGTATTCACACATACACCAAGGACATTTCTGGACTTATTTTCAATCCATACAATTTAAACCACAGTAAAGGGTAGGCTCTCATTTTAAATCTCTCTGAAGAAATACTTTCAGTCTTCGAAAATAACAGACTGATTAGGAAACAACACTATTCCCCTGGAGAGGACACTGGAAGCAAAACGTCTCTTACGGTGGCAGTTTGTAACAAAAGGCTCCACGTTTCCTGAACGCGAGGCGTTCTTCGTCCCTTCATTTACAATACCCACAACGCTCCACGGATCAGATCCCCTCTTGGGGCAATGCCATCGATCCCAGCTCCTTGCACTCACTCACCAGTGTGCCCAGCCCTGTCGAGGAGCCCACCTACCTTGCATGTCAAAGACCGGGTGCAGGGCTTCTTGGTGTCGAGATCAATGACCCCACAGTGTATGTCAGGATCAAACTCTCTTTCTGCCAAAAGCACACAGACATTACAATGGGCTCATCGATGGGCTCATCCTTCATTAGTTTTGACAACAGTAGAACGATTCTCAAAACAGGCAAATTCTAACTTGAATAAAATCTACGACATCATCAATAAATATAAAATAGACAACGTGCGAGTGCTGCCAAGCCGCAGCAAGAGACGCCACAAAGAGCGCGGGGGACTACTGCCATCGCTTGACAGGAAAGGAAGTGTGCGTGTCAGCGTTCCTGCCGCGCTCCATTCAGAAAGACACCGCTCGAAAGCTATTTTTACATCACCCACAGACACGTGTACTTTAAAAGCAAGAGTGAAGAGCAAAGGCAGAGCACCTAAGGAACTTCCACGTAAAGCTGAAGCTGACCAGTTTTGAAAAAGCGGACCTGCAGACAGCAGTCCATTTGCTCCCTCGTGAATACCCAATTATATACAGAGAAACACGGAGAGAAAAAATGTGAAGTTACCTGATAATCTCTTATTCAAAAATTTCCTGTTACTGGAATTATCTTCAGACTTTTTTTCCAGAGCGGATGGTGCAGGAAGCCCTTTGCCATTCAGAATCTGTCCAGGTGAAGGCAAGGTTGGCTTTGGTATCGAGGGGCAGTTAAGGCCAGGCTTGACTGAGGAACTCACAGTAGCAGGACAGGTCGGCCCCACCGTAGATTTCAGTAGTGTGCCATCCATCTTCGGATGAATCTTCTCCACTTTGACAGAGGGCGTCATGCTGTCACAGGGGGAAGCGGAACATCAGCACCCAAGTGCGCCAGCAGCCCTAGGTGAATGGTGAGCTAGAGGGCTGAAGTCAGAGCCCGGATCTACCCACGCCCTGCACAGGGCTAGGCTCCCAAAGGCGACTTCTGAAAATGTGTCAGGACTACCCAGAAAACTCAGTACGATTCACGTTCATTCAAACTAGAAGCCCTTCTGGTGAGGCAAAAAAACTCCAGCGGACCATCGGATTGACGTGGTCTTTCATCATCCAGGACAATCTTACGCATGAGTCCACAGGGGAACTAAGCCTGATACCCAACTCAATTCCTGTAAGACGCAAAACGGGAAAGGGTCTAAAAGGACCAGAGACTATCTGTAAAACCTTTAGAGAATATCTTCAGAGAATTATCATTTTAAAGAAAGGATCCATCAAAACAAATCAAACTGAGTGAACAGGGGCAAGAATAACTGGAGTTAGATAGTATGTCCAAGAAATGTCACTAAAGACATACATGAATTCAAATGAGCCTAACCAGATCTCTGAGAAGAGGCTCTCTGCCCATCAGTGAGGGACACCAATGTTTAGTTATGTAATGTGTCACTGAAGTGATAATTCTCTAGTCTCTGAAAAAAGCTTCTATAATAAGAGTTCAGAATATAAGTGTCTGGCACACAGCTGGTGAGCACTGAATACCTGTGCCACTAATAAAGAATTAATTTTTCTGGGAATCTTACTGACACTAGCATTTGGATGGCAAATGCTGGTATGGAGCTACCAGTTGGCCTGGTCCCCCTCTTAAACCCAGCTCCAAATAAAGAAGATTCAGATTGATGAGGTTTTCTAAACTTTGTTCAGTAGAGTCCGTGCTCAAACAGCTGTTAAGCTGGCGAGTGACTTACACATAGCACTGGCATTTTCTTTGGCTTTTGGAAAGGTCCAGGAACGAAAGCCAAGCTTGCTGTACTTGTACTTCTGACAAATGGGGGGGGGGGGGGGGGGGGAGGGGATGGGAGGAAGGCATTGTTTCCCTGTCTGCTTTGCAGGCTCCAGAAAATCCCAGAACAGCATCTACGAATCACCTCACTTTTTTATTCCTACCGTTATCAATGGCAGCAGCAGAAGCACCAGCATCCATTCATTTACTGTCTCCTATGGGTCAGACATGACGCCAGGCACTTGAGACTGCTGTATTAATTCTACTTCTCCCAATAACCGCACACTGACTGTTACTCTCCAACTGTGAGAGCAACGGGGCCTTGTTCAAAGCCCTGCAGTTAGAAAGTGATAGAAGGGGCGTGTGAACCCAGGCCTGTCTGCCTGCAGAGTTTGGCTAAAGCTCCTCGACCGCATTACGTGTCCTTCATCCTTATCTGCAAAATGGGCATAACAACCAGACCTGTTTCATAAGGTTGTTGTGATAATGAAATGACAGCCCACAAAAAGAGCCAAGTTTCCACAGCTGGCGCACAAGAAAGAGCCAATCAACAAGTACCACTGACCTTATTACTGCTGTTGCTGTTTTGTGAAGTCTCCCAAAATACGACAGGGAAACAAAAGGAAACAACATACACTTGACTTTCCCCAAAACAGGAACAGAATCCCCACATGATTCACAACAGTTTCAGGTGCTACTGGTGTGCACAGTTCCACAACAGGCAGGGAAGCTCGAAGAACCCTCTGGGCCATACTCACATTCTACCATGGGGGGCTCTACTTTGCTGAATGGGATGCATTGGCCTGGTGTTCCCCCTGAGGTGCAATTTCTCTTTGGGTGATTTCAGCAACTTGGAACTTAATGAGGATGCGCCTAGAACACCTCCACTGGAAGAACGGTTGCTTCCACTTCCGCTGCCTCCTTTGCTTTTGGACAGAGAAGGGAAGAAGGGAAATACTGAAGTGGGAGGAGCGGCCCAAGAAGGCTTGCTGGACGAGCTGTGTCTTCTTTCTGAAAAGAAAAACAGGAGAAAAGAAAAAAAAAAAAAAAAAAGACACTGTGTTTCAGGCAAGTCTCCAATGGAATCCTGGAAGAGTCCCCTGAAATCAACACATTTAGGTTCAAATATGCGTCACTAAGTGAAAATATATTTCACTCAGCAGCTTTCAGAAACGGCTTATCTAGGCCTCACAGACTTATTTAGGATTCTAGGAACTGGTCCTTCTGCTTCGGAAACATCTCAGCATAAAGCGGTTTATCATACGCAGATAGCCATTAGGAAATTAAAGAGCCATTCTAAACCTGAGAATATTTGGTTTTGTATACTAGAAATGAACCTCACTCGCTCCAACAAGGAGTCAGAGAGGCAAATTATTCGTTCATCCATGCAGCTATACGAACTGACACCACACCGATTCCTTCCTTCCTTTCTAGCATAGCATCTTTCCAATTTTTTGAATCGCAAATGTCAAAAAACGAGTTGTACCTTAATTTTTTTTCTGTCCCTACCCACTAGCATGTGACGCCAAATAAGAATGTTTCTAGGGTTATTTTATCATCCTCTGAACCTGTGCTGAAATTTTCCAGTGAATCACTTTACTCCCTCTTTTGTAATAATCTCACTTGGGTACAGATGGCATAGCTCTGGTTCACACTGCTAAGATGCCAAAGGCAGAAGACAAAAATACCATGAGGAGCTACGCTGGTTTTTTAAACCCGGAAGTAATTCATAGTTAAGTACAGACTACACAGGTTTACCTGAAAATAAGTCTACCCACTGGAGAATCAGGTTTTCTGGTCATAAAGCAATCCATACTAAATAAATTGAGAGCTGCTGAGGAATGGCACTATCGGAAACAAGTCAATTATTTAGGAACTTTATCTACTTCAGTACCTTGTGATGACTGCCTTCGATTAAACTTGTGATTTAAAATGACATGTGGCAAAATAAATAAATTAAATTAAATTAAAATGACACATGGCTTGGCTTTAAGTTTTAAAATGTACATGATCCAACATTTACTTACCACTTCACAGAAGCTATATGAATATTTAAAAAATTAAGCAAACTGGAATCAGTGACTATCAGCACTGCACAAACGGTTTATTTCTAAAATCTTTTTTTTTTTTTAAACCAGTCCTGAGGCTCTCTGGGAAGCTGAGATGACTTACTCCCAGAAGGCCATTAGTTAAACAATGCTTTATGAGGTATCTAAGAACCTTCCGCAACAGGACAAAATTATAATGCTGATCTACAGACAAAATTCCAATTGTCCAACCAGACCGCACAAAGGCCACAAGCAAGTTAGGATGGCTAAAATGATAGTGATTTTTTTTTTAGGTTTATGTATTTATTTTGCCAGAGGGAGTGCAAGCGGGGGAAGAGCAGAGAGAGGTGAGAAACAGAATCCCAAGAAAGCTCTGGATTGTAAGCGAGGAGCCCAATGCAGGGCTCAAACCCATGAACCATAAGATCACGACCTGAACTGAAATCAAGAGTCAGACAGTCAACTAACTGAGCCACCCAGGCACCCCTAAATTGACAGTGATTTTAAGCGCCTGTTGCTTTTGCGTGTGTGTGTGTGTGTTTGTTTGTTTTTTTTTTACTCTGATGAAAGCTGTGTGCATGGAAAGGAAAACTAAAATAACTTAAGTTTAGTAACTTTCCAAATTTGGTATCTGAGGTTTTGTTTCTTTTTCTTCTTTTCTAATTTAGTTTCTCTCCCCTCTGTGATCCCCAAACACTATCTGAATATCCTTCCAAAGCACCAGCACTTGTCAGGCAGGACCGTAAAAATCTGTTTCCAGTTCTGCCGCCTTCCTTGGATGGTGAAACTTCCTGTCTGGGTCATCTCTGCCTCTGTGAGACCTGGCATGGAGCAGACCTTCACTTAACATGTGCACCATCGGTGCAGCTTGTCTTGTGAGGAGGAGTGATTTCAAACAGCCGTGGACCAGTAGTTCTCAACCCTGGCTACACAGTGGCATAACCTATGAGCTTAAAAAATACTGATGCCTGAGTCCCACCCAGAGAGATTCTGATTTAACTGGTTTGGGGTGTGGTCTGGGTATGCAGGCTCTTATAAGTGCCCCTGTGTGATTCCACTGTGCAGTCAAGGTTGAGAGCAGCCTTATACTAGGCTAATGCTCCAGAACCATTAGCCACGGCTGAGTAAGTTAACACTTGTAGGGCAATGAGAACACTGCCTGGCACATGGTGCTTTCTATCAGGGTCTATTAAATAAAGTTCACTGCTGCTACCTGTCCTCAACTACTGCTTTCCGGACTTCCATCAACTGCAAATTATTTCCATCATTCTTACCAAAGCCACATAAAATAGTATTTTTTACTTAACATCTTTATTTAAATTATCAGCTCTACTGTTCTCTCCTCCTCCTCAGCCATTAACCAGTCTCTCTCTGGGGGCATCACTGGTATTTTGGACAGAACAATTCTTGTATAGGATTTCAGGATGATCAGAGGTCCTGTCCCCTGCCCCTTAACCAGCAGTGGTGCCCTTCTGCCAGGGGCAGCCTGAACCTACCCTCCAATCCATTCTCATATCACCCAATGTGACGCAGGGTACTACCCTCAACTGGGAACTATTTCTCCAAACAACAGTATCTATGAAATAGTAGGTCTGATGAGCTTGTTATGTACTTTTTCTATATACATTCAAATAAATATTAAAATATTCCTCCATGGTCACCCACAGAAATCATCCTGTCTCTCACGGAGGACAAGTGTGTGCTGCAGGAAGAATAATACCATGTTTGTGGTATGAACAGGGAGAAAACTCCCAACTAAAACTTACTTTTATGAAGTACACCCCTTTCACTATTCTCTGGGGATCAGAATTCTCAAGCAAGTGTCTTAGAGTAAATGTGATTTTAAAGTATTTGAAAAGTATTTTCTCTTGATATCAAGTGATATAAATAAGATTCTCAATCTAATGAAATACAGTTTTGCTCGTAAAGCTTATTTTCAGAAAGTAAATCTATTCTGAAGCCACTGATATACTGAGGCACAATTTGAACATAATGAAATACTGCATCTGCTTTCACAAGATTTCATCTGCAAAAAGTACTGCGCCAATGCAGAAAATGACACCTGGCTGCACCCAGTCACATGGGCATACACAAAACACACCCCTCCCCCCAAGCACCCAACATGCATCCCAGTTCACCGTGCATGTGAGGAGCCACGCCCACCCACAACTGGTGCTACAACTTTCCCTTGATCTCAGATAACCTCCGTCCACTACTTCAGAGTAACTCACAGGCTGCAGCTCTTCCAACACCTGCTTCCAGAAGCAAATGTCGGTTCGTTTTCTAGTATTCACCTATTTTTAACCATTTAATCCATGGAAAACTGTGCTACTGTTTCTGTCAGGTTCCTATCTTTTTTGTGTGAGTCACTAATGAAGTTTTGAGTGCTGTGCCCGTAACCCCATTCCCCTAATGAGTCTCATGTGGATTCTATTACACAATGTTGCACAGTGCAGTAATTTCTTAGGAATGTGTGCTGTAGGACAGCAGAACTTTCTTCAAGTCTGTCCTTTTAATTCTCTATTCCCATTATAGTCCATTCCCGCCATTTTCTTCAGCTGATGCTTGTTTTCTAGTCTATTAACACTTGTTTTGGGGATTTTGCACTAGAAAAATCAAGGATCAAAGCTTTCTAGCATTAAAAATCAGCTGGTGTATCGATTACATTTATATTTTCTACTTCAGTAATAAAAGACATTTAAAAACTAAGAATGGCTATTACATGAATTTCTTTCATTCATTAAAACTTGAAACAGACTTGCGTGTGTGTGTGTGTGTGTTGCACACGCACGTGTGTGCTCGTGTGTATTAACGGATTCTGGCTGAAAAGTGCCAGCTCAAATCCTTGTCATGCTGCTGAATAAAGTTGTTCCTTCACATCATGGTCTGGTAACTTATTCTCTGGAAAGGGCGGCATCTGGCTTACTCTCTGAGAGAAAGCAAAGAGGAAAAAACATTTAATTACAGCTCAGTTGGAATCTCCCCATCCTTTCACTGTGGGCCTTTATTTTTCATAATATTTTAAACTGGGCTTCCAGCTTAAAAAAAAAAAAAAGTGTTCCTAGATCAAAAGAGAAATGGGCAAGTTATGGGTAGGGTTAGGGACCTTTTATTAAGTGGGAAAACTGGTGGCCAGGCGCTAAGCATAACTGCAGTGTGGCTTGGTGAGGAGTCCAAGTTGAGTTTTCAAAGCACTCCTCTCTACAGGGTCTGGCACCAGCTCAGAGAAGGCACACTCTGTTGTCCCTGGATGAGAGGGGTACTTTGAATGGCTCTAGCAAAGGGAGAGATAGTTAGGCAGCCCAAAAGACAGACAGTACAGACAGGGAAAGAGCACAGAGAGGCAGACATGGGTGAGTGTGTGTGTTGTTGGGGGGGAGGGGGAAGGGGCGCTGGGGGTTTGGAGTAAACAGGGCAGACAGACGTGAAGAAAGAGGTAGAGGTGAAAGGTGGAAGAGAGGGAGAGAAAAAGAGACTGTGTGAAGTGTGTAAGAGATGGATGCATCGGACTTTCTTCCCCCTTGTGGCTTGAACATGGGATAGCACTGAAGGGAGCAGCAGGGTATCAGGGAGGGTAAGGTAGAGGATAGCTGTCTTTATGTCTTCCAAAATGGAAAGCAACCAAGAATACTGAGCTTGCAATCTGGGATTCACGCTGAGGTTTAAAAATATACATATGTACGTGTTGATACCCAGGTACAAACCAAAAAGGAGTTCAAAGCAAATAATTAGATCTCCTTAAGTCATAAATAAATATTGCTTTGAAAATAACGAAAAATAATTCAGATGCACAAGTGTAAAAGTTAGGGCACAAACCTAAAAAGCTGTCAAAGCAAATTTTAACTTCAAACAATTCATTCTTGAAAAAAATCTACAAGGAAATACATCAAATTTTAAGCGGTTATCCCTGGGATTAGGGGGTGTGTGTGTGTGTGTGTGTGTGTATACTTTTTTTTTTTTTTT